TGAATTTGAGTTTGGATTTGAAGGTTGAATTAAATTTAAAATAAAATTAATTTATATTTGTTTTAATTTTTGCAGGGACGGGGATCCTCACGGGGCCCTGTGAAGCAAAGAAAATTCCTTGCAAAATTTCGTGGAGGGAAAATGCTCCCCTATTCCTCCCCGTCCCTGTGACAGGGATCCCTACGGAGCCAAGGGAAATTGCCATCTCTAGACTGAACCCGATCAGAAAAAGAAAACATTAGATCCTTTGTCTTTCATTTTAGCCATACAAAAGATTTAGCTTGAATAAGCTCAAACAATCTACCCTCATCCCATTGGCCCTAGCTAAACACAATACCATTCTCTGCCGTCCAAATAGCCCACAGCAAAATAGAAGCAAAATAGCTATATATTGTTCATTATGTTGAATATTTGGTTCATTAATTAACTATATATATTACTTAAGAATTGAAATGAAATATGGTGATCATCATAGAACCAAAATATGTTTAATTTCTTTGTGTCATATAGCTTAATAATGACACCAAACATGACTAATTGTTTTCCTATTCTCTCTCTATTTCTATTTTGGGTTCTCAAAAATAATGTGGTGTGATTATTAGCATCTTTCAGGAAGGTGTATATAGTTATAACAGAAGCACATAAGTGCAAAAGTGTAGCATTCCCATGAATCCTAACCCTGGAAAAAAGAAAAAATCATGATTAGAATTTTTAATAAGATCATATCACCTGTATATGTATATATAGTATCATTGTATTAATTGATTTTAGTTAAGTATATATCAAACTAATGAGGAAAATATTCTCTTGATAAAGTTAGGTTTCAGTTTACTTGCATCATGCATCGATCTAAAGATAGATCGAGATCTAGCATTTTGGCTGATTTGGTTGATGTTATTACCTTGGATTAGGGCTATTCTTAACGTTCTTCTTCCCATACTTTATCCATTTGAAACCATCATCCATTATCTCAGTATCTGAATCAGTTTGGAAGGAAATTCTACAGCCCAAACCACCATTTTCTTCTCTACAAAAGACCAAATAAAAAAGGGAAACAAAAATTATGAGTAATATGTATAAATAAAAAAAAAAGTTAGACAATAAATATGATCAAACAAGTTCAGTACATATGGTTAATTTAAACAAGGAATTAATTGAATCGTTGCCAACTCTTGCACTTCTGATCTGCTCCATGGCAGCTCACTGGCACGGCAGATGGGGATATTTCGAATGATCTCTTGTGGCTTAACATGATCAATTTGAGAAGGAAATGCATTTCAACCAATGGTACTATCTTTCTCAGAGCCATGAGCTAGCATTTGATCATAATCAGACGGCTGAAAGTACTGTTGATTAACATGACCAAGGCTGAAGATAGGGTTTGGGGGGTGAGGAATTAATGTTAGTGGGGAGGAAGTCGGACATGGTAGAGTAAGATATAGGGTTTGTGAGAAACACCAAAGGGTGACAGCTGATAAGCTTTCTTGGGTAGTATTGACCGAATATATACTGATTTTCTAGAGCTTTCGTGGGCAACTTCCTTGTGGAATACCTGTTCATAAAAAAATAAAATACCTTGTGGATGACAGCACTCAGCAGGCTTCCTCCGAAATTACATGTAATTCCGATTTTCGACTGTCAAGTTTTCCATCCTTTTACATTTGGAAAAGGAGCAAAGCTTCGAAGCTTTGTTTGGAAGTACTTTAATTTTTTTTTTGAAATAATTTATCTTATAATAAAACTTTTATAACATTAAATAATTAACTTCTTATATAATTCTTATATCAAACGTGTCTATAAAATCATAACAATGTTTCTTTAATACACAGAAAAGAAAGAACTTAAAAGAGATTAAATAACATTTTCACATCTACTAACTCCATGTTGAACACTTTTCCACTACTAGCTAGTCACATGATATTTTCTACGGCAAACCGTATAACATACCGTCCATCCTTTACCTTTCTTGACTTGTGAACAGCCCCTCATGTCCGACGAAATTAGGATATGAACATGATTGTGCAAGGGCGCCAACTAGACTCCACCATGTATAAGGGTCTTTTGGCAAAACTTGAAAAGTAAATTTCTTTTCACAAATTTTAAATTTTGTTAGAGAAACTTAAAAATAGGGTTTTAAATGTGCCTTTAAATAAGTTTAAAAATTTTTAAATGTCTAACTTTATCGAAACTTACTAAAATAACTTACTCAAATGTTATTTTAAAAGTTAAATTTTTAATAAAAAATTAATTTTTAAATTTTTTTAATAAAATTCTAAATTTATAAAAAAATTTATTTTTTAAATAAAATTTTTTAAAATTTTGCCAAATACCCTCTATACCATCTTACCCAGTCGAGATTAAGATTTGATGATGATGTACGACATGACTTAATCAAAACATGAATGTTTTTTTTTTTTTTTGGCCACAAACAGAACTTTTCATACCCTAAGTTAGAGTTGTTCACTTTTAGTGGATTGCACGTTTGAACTTCACGGAATTCTTTTCCTCTCTCCCTCAATTAACCTTGTAAATAATTATAATTTGTTAAAAAAAAAAAAACAGAACTTTTCATATATTAAGCTTATAGTCTGAATCTGATTTTTTTTTTTTTTAATTTTTGATGTGAAGTCTGAATTAAAATTTTTTTTCTTCGATGTGAAGTCCGAATCTGAATTTTTTCCAATTTTTTGAAGTGAAGTCTGAATCTGAATTACATTTCCAAGGACATAAACTAAAGATAAAACTATAGGGAGCAAAGAGCACACGATACTAGTTTCTTTCTTCTCTTGAATATTTGTTTTGTTTTACGTACACGCAAGGAGGTGCATATTAACCCCAATATTTTCAAATTGAAGCAAATCACTACCTGATAAAAAAGTTAACGAAAATTGTTATTTTATGATTTTGTTTTAGAGAAATTAGCCCAAAATTAACTATGTTTTGGTACCAAATCTTTTGGTATTTAGAAACCACATTAGGTCATGACTAATGCAAAATCGAGTTATATTAAACCCTATAAAAGAGGAAACTCTCTTAACACTTGTCTTTCCATTTACAAGACTCAAATTTAAAATCTTAGTTAAGGGAAATTGAATTCATTTTGTTTAAACCAACAGGTCATTAGTGTCCAAAATTAACTATTGACATCAAATTGCGGCTTAATTTGATGATACTGATCTATAGTTACAATTGTAGGTTTTTGTGTTCTTTAACACTCTAAAAATATATAAAATATATTAATATATTTAATATTTGTTTTAATTAACATTTTATATATTTTTAAAATAATAAAAAAACATGAAAATTAA